TAACCAAATTTACCACGCTAAATTTTTTTTTCTGTGTTTTTCATCTCTTAATTAAATATTATTGATTCAGAAAATATAAATAAAACTTTATTTAAAGATAGTTTAGAACTTTAATAGAACTTATTTAGAGATATTTTTTTTTTTAAAGATTATTCAGAGATAAACATATTTAACTTTAAAACCAATGGTTTAATCCATTAAAAAAAGGTTGGTTTAAGCCAAATTAAGAATAGTTTTACAAAATGAAACTAAAACAAGTAAAAAACATGTACATTTGCATTAAGTGTAAACGTTTAATATCAATATAATTATTTATACTTTTGAAAATAAGTTTCCTAAACTGGAAAATTGTAATGGACATTGAATGATTCATAAATGCACCAAATTCTGCTGAAAGAGTTACTTATTTTTTTAACTACTGGGCTCATATATTTAAGATGTGAGAAATAACTGATGATGGAAGATGATTGAGTTGATGCATGTTATATAAGTAGCAAATCTAATTGTTCTCTATAGAATGTTAAGTTTCTATATACTTAACATTCTATAGAGAACAATAAGATTATACTTCCGAATATTATTCAATATGATATATTGAATAATATTCGGAAGTTATGGTTGAAACATTGTTAGACAAAGTTTGATGAATTAAAAATAAGTTATTTAACAATAAATGATATTAAAAACAGAATTTAATAATCAGGTTATGTTAAAATTCACAATATCTATAAAACTAATTTAAACTTTTCATCAAGTTATTGTAAAAATATCAAGTTCACTCAAATGAAGACCAAAATAGCATCCTATTTAATCCTCATTATATGAAGAGATATAAAAAGACTGATGTGAATATAGCTGAGAATATTGAGCAATTGCATATTGATATTAAAACTCTTTTGAAAAAAAGAAAACAAACATCATATTGGACATTCCAAAAATAACCATTCTAAGTTAATAGGAGAGAATCAAAACATTTAAAAAACAATTATTTTTTAATTAGAAAAAATCTATGGAGAATAGATGTGTTCACAGGGGACATTGCGGTCTTATTTGAGAGGAATAAACACATGTCAGCTATTGGACTTAAAGTAAAGAGTAATTGTTAGTAAAGAGAACCTTTTTTAAATTGTACACATTTCAGCTAATGCTAGATAAATAAAGGAATATAAAAATTTAAGAGCATTAGTAAAACTATTGAATAAAATATCTCTGATTACAATTTTTGCAAAAATAAACTATTGAAAATATAAATTGATTAAATTAAATATCAAAAATATAAACTGATTAAAATCACTTTCATAAGCAAAAATCTTTAAAAACAAAAATATAATTTGATAAATGATAGTAATGTGTGAAACATATTAAAAAAATAAAGTATATAATGCTGTCAAGACAGCCCTATATTACATTATGTATGCATTAACACAAAAAATCATGAGTGACCATAAGGTTTTCATAGCTCTTGGCCATCATGACGCAATTTTACATAAGCCAAATCTAAATTTACAACTTCTAAATTTAAACTTTTTTCTATTTTGCTTTCAATAGCTAGCAAACTAATACTAGGCAGACAACCCTAATAAAAAAAAACTTAAAAATAAGTTCGACTGACAACTCTAAAGTAACCTGACACATTTGCAACCTTAAGTATGTCTTTAGAAGTTGCAAGCATTATAAAGAAGTTTCAAGTTGTATAAATGTACAATTATTTATTTATAAAATTATAATTAATAATTGCTGTTCTATTATTAAAGAAAAAAAATAACATAAGTAAAAATTCTAGCTTTGATCTATTGCTAATATAATTTTTCTTTAATCTAGCCACATTAAGGTTTTTTAAGATTTTTCTGAAAATAATTTTTTTTGAATACTTAAATCATACATTAACTGACTGCTGAATTTGACAGGAAAATGTAAGTTTCTAAGTTTTTTATTTTTAAATAACTTTACTTCTAACAAAGCTGCAAGCAACCACAATCATAGTTGGTAGTTACTGGAAGAAAAAAGATAAAGTTTATAAAGCGAGATAACAATTAAACAACAACTTAAATGATTGCAAGTTTTATGAATTAGGAAAGCAAAAAGGAGTGAAGCATTATTTAAAGCACTTAGGAACAGTCATAGTAAAAGGATGAGAATTTCCATTATTATCTTTGATTTGTATGTCTAACAATTTTTTCATGTATTTCAACAGTTTTTTTTTTTAAATTCTATTAGTGTAAAGGAAAAGCAAGTTGAGTTTCTATCTCTAGTACATTCATTATTTTTATATAATTAAATATAATTTCATAGAAATTGAAATTATCTTTGTTTTTCATTAAAATTTGTAATGTGAGTTTTAACAATTAAATGTCAGTCCTTATGCAAAGTTTTTTAATAAAGTATTATGTAGCTTTGTTGAAAATGCGCATGTTGTTTCATAATTTGCTTTCTTATATGTTGATTAATCAAAACATTTAAATCAAACTGATTAATCAAATTATCAGAGCTATTATGATGATGCAGAAGTAACTTCATAATTTTTTTTTATCTATTTATAGAATAATTTTTATGTAAAACAAGAACAAATGGTAATATATTAAATGGTAATATAATTTCTAAGGAATAAAATTTATTTTTAAAATTTTGGTCTTGTGCATATGGGCTAGTCTGACAATGGTTAATCTGGCAAAGTTGTACTTTAAAGTGTAACGAGAAGTTATTTAAATATCTCAACAAAAATTTATTTTTAGTTTATTAAACATTCATAGAAAACCAAAACAATTAAACATTTCAAATAAAAACAAATAAATACCATTAACGACCATGAATTGTTATGATACTATGATGAATGTTTTTTGAATGTTTTTAAGATTTATGTGTTTGTTTAAGATTTATATGCTAGAAAGTTAAAAAAGCCCAGATCATTTGCAAGTGCTAGAGCAGCCACAGGAGCCACAAACCATGAACAAAAGTATACAGTGACTATAAAAGCTGAAAATTACTTGATAAAAATGTGTTTACACTTTGTCATGATAAATTGTAAATAAAGCATGTTTAATTTGATAGTATAAATATGAAAAAAAGATATCCCTCTAGCTCAATATATTGCACCAGGTTGCATAAATTGAATACATTTGCATGATATCCCTGCAAGGAAAATGATGGTTATCTCTAATGATAGTTTTTTCATTCATTCATGTACAATTCAATGTACTTCATAAAAGGCAATAGTTTTTCGCTTAGTTATATTGCTCCTCAATCACTTTTCCAATTTTCTTGGAAAAGTGTTTCTAGCAACATTGGAAATCAAATTTTCAATGTAAATGACATAACAGGCAATAAATATTTTTTCTGCCTCAATCTGCAGTATGTGGTGACCAAAATTAGTAGTTTCTAATTTTCCTCTATATTAAAACACAAGCTCTCAACTGGACACTACTGTCGCTACTTGTTATGTTGAAATACAGCACGTTGATGCAGTTTTTTATGTTCCAGTCTTCCAGGCATTCTGTAAAAACCTTGAAAATTGCATCACCTGGTCCTGAGGAAAGCTTTGAAGCATCAAGTAGGTTTTTTATTTCTGGCAAGCAGGTGATGACAAGCAGGTGATCTTATTATGCCAATACTTTAACAATCCAATTTAAGTGGTATTTTAGGTTTGAAAGAGTCTTTAACAATAGATACAATATGCCACTGCAATTGATAGCAACTTCTATTATGACCAAGAATAGCTGCTGTTACAATAAGCAGATATACTGTCTTTTTGTTGTTGACTTTAATAAACTCCTGTGCTGAAGCTGCATCTTGTGTTATAATATTTTTAGAATAAAATTATATGAATAAAAAAATGATTAAAAAAGAAGACATAATGGAAGTTTTGCGAATTTATCAGTGTGACTTTACTTTTTTTTAACCTTTTTTAATATAAGTTATGGCTTCACCATTGGTTTAATATACAAACAATAATATTTAACTTTCTTTTATGTATTGTTTTTTGAATGTTTTTAAGATTTATGTGTTTGTAAGTTTTATTCTTTTAATATTTTTAGAGTGTGATAGAGGTTGCAATAATCTTATGAAGTGTAGAAACTACAATGGCTTTAATGATTGTGAATGTTTCCCGAACTTTTTTTTGGTTGATGAAAAATGCACAGGTTATTGAATGTTTTTTTTTTAAATGTTGTTAAATGTTTTTTGTTAAATGTTTTTTTTATTAAATTCAAACTTTTCATACTTTTTATTTGTTTTAAAATAATTTATTTTATTCGGTAAACATTTATGTTTATTATTTTTTACTGAAATTAAAAAATATATTCCAGCAAAAAAAAATGCAGTAAAATTAAAATTATTGATAAAAGACTGTAATTGCATAAAAAATAATTTAAATTAAAATAATAAAATTGTTCTATTAAAAAATCTAACTTGGGTATCATAACTCAAATCTTACTGATTTTAAAAGTTAAATTATTTTTTGTGAAGCTTTAATCTTAATTTTAATAAAAGTTGATTCTTTCTAAGATTATTTAAAGAAGAATTGTTCAATATTGCCACCAAGCCATTATGTTTAGGCATTTCAACAGTCAAACCAAGTTCTTCAATTAATTTGTATTGAAATTAATATATATTTTTTTTTACAGCCTATTTATCAGCAGCTCTATATACTATCCCATTTTTTATTTCATATTTGTCGACAACATGTAGAAAGCATTCTATGCATCTTTTCCAGACATGTATTGTTGAGAAGCCATATTTAAGTTAAGTTTGTAATTCCCTTACAGGTTTATACATAACCATAAACCTAATGAACTTGTTTTTTAATAAATAAAATGCAAGGTTAAGTTTACATTATTACAAGTTTACATTATTACAAAATAATAACTTTCTTTTTTTTTCCATTCAACTATTTCTTGTTTAAGTTTTATTGATGATACAAATTTCAATACAGTACAGAATAATATTGCACATGTTTTCCTTTGATGATCTTTATCAGACAAACAATTTAAAAAACAATGTTTTCAACTATTTAGACATATCTCCTAGACATATTTATATCAGTTGTTTTATCAGGTACAGCTTTTTTTGAAATTCTAAGAATGCAATCAAAGAAAAATTTTGAATCTGGAATAATTATTAATTGATATGCAGCATATCTTTTGCAGTTTTGTGTTTTATAACATTATTGTATAGCTAATACGACCACAATATAGCTAATAATATCTAAAGAATAATAACTTTATTCTCTCGTTGACTCAGTAATGTTAGAACTAAGCCATTCAGTGCAATGAGCATTAAAGTTACCAGTAATATCAATATTCTCTAAGAGATAAAGTGAAGGGACTTTGTCATAATGATCAGAAACTTCATCTAAAAGAATGCAGTCTTAAGAAGAAGTAACACAATAAAGAACAAAGAGATTGAATAAAGAGGTGATTAAATGAAAAGGTGATTGAATGAAGAGGTGTTAAGCAGAAACACCTAAAGAGATTGAATAAAAAGGTGATTGAATGAAAAGACGATTGAATAAAGAGGTATTAGTAGGCAGAGGGTTCATACCTGATTTTATTGCAGATCAGTAAATTGATGCCTAAGTACATGCCCAGACCTTTGTGTACCAAAGGATAATAGCCATTATAATTGAGATCCAAAGATAAAACAACTGAATTATAATTTGTCTTTCAAATTACTTAAAAAAAATATTTAGGCTTTTAAAAGGGTTTTTCATTCTTAAATTTTACTATAAAAAAATCAACCTACTATAGAGAATCTTTTATATCCAACTCTAGTCCTCATGGCAAAAAAAATATAGACTTTGAATGTTGTTATGTTACATTTTGTTTAAGGCTCTCAAATATTCAAATCCGTGTCATCTTAAAGTACTATAGCATCAAAGTTTCCATTAGGTACAACAAAATGTGGTGTACTAATCCAAATTAAGTTTGGATTGGCTATTATACTATTAAGTCTAGATTATAAGCTTATGCATCAATAATCTTTTGTTGTTTTTTGTGATGAGAGTAAGTATGTAATCTTCAAAAATGATGAAATGGTGTTTTCATATGTTTTAAAAATGATATATTATGTATTATAAATCCTCAATTATGGAAAGCAAAATTAGTTTTTGTTGAGAAAATTTAAAAATAAAGAAGTATAGTGAAACATTTTTTTAATGTTCTTTAATTTTGGTGGAATGTTTAGACACTTTTTTAATGGTTGTCTAAAATAATCATCATGTGTCTTGGAGCCAGTCTTTCAAGTGAGTCCTGCCTATAAATTCTTGTATACATTTAATTTGTCTTTTTCCATTGTTTCATTATATAATCTGTTGGATCCTGAAGCTGTTTCTCAATATTGCTGAAGTGAAATAAAATATCACTATTTAATCTTTAGCATCGACAGCCTGACATCCTAATGAATAATTGGCAATTTATGCTTTTTTTTGGTCTACTTAATGGTTACGGAAAGTTCAATATATTCTTGAATAAGCCAAAATTCTCCTTGGAAATTCTTGGAACTCAGTCCTGGATTCTTAAATTTACTATGGATTGCATTTTCAATGTGTTTTCCTATAAACACTTTTCAATTTGTTTTCCTATAATATATATATATATATGTTTTCCTATATTTTTAACCAGAGTTTGCTGATACTTAAATAAAACTAGTTAATAGGTGTACTTCATTTAAGAGTAGATTTTAGAATAAATTTACTCTTATATCCAACTTTTAGATAGAACTCAGGCATTAATTTATACTGTGCTTATTTTTTAAAAATAACTGCAAAATATGCGGGATTGATGTAGTGGTAGAAAGCTCTCTTCATAAGTAAGAAGTTCAGAGTTTTATCCCCACCACATTCCTGAAAATTTTGTACTCAATTTGTTTCTCCGCATAGCTGCCTTGTCAATAATTGCTTTTGAAGTTATTTAGAGTAATTTAGAGTTGGAGTTATTTGGAGTTAGAGTTATTTGGAGTTTATGAGTTATTTGGAGTTAAGAGAGGGTTGTAACTCTAATTTGTTAGCTTCCTTTACTGTAGTGGCCTTTTCTGTCTTGGGTGAATTAACATAAAAAATAAAAAATAAAACAACAATTGCAAATAAGATTTATTTGAGCATATTTGATAACAGCATTCAGACTTTTTTAGTTTAAGTAAGTAAATATATAACCATTAAACTTGTTTAAACAAATTTTTAACTATATAATAATATGCTTGTAAACAAGTTTTGGATTGTTCTAGAAATCACTTTCTAGTTTATGTGTTTAACTTTTACATATCCCACATTTTGCTCCTTGAATGGTGCTTGTGTTTAAGTGTTAAAAGTGTCAAACAGTTTGTGTGCTAGGTTTAAAATAGTAAGTTAATTTAAATGAACAGTTATACTAACGATATGTATTCTCTAAAAATCTAATTTTATTCTAAAATGTATTCTCTAAACAATCTGTAAAATCTAAAATTTATTCTATTTAAAAGTTTTATTAAAACTTAATTCAGAATACATATAATTTGATTTTAAGTAAAGAGAATTTAATACAAGAACTATGTTTTAAATGTTTTTATTGTGTGTGATTAAATTGTTTAAACATATTTTTAGCTGGTTTAAGTAAATGGAGTTCATGGAATTCATGGGTTGTTGAAAATGATAATCCCAACCTGTATCGAAATCGCACATGTATACTCTTTAATGGTAACGCAAATGAAACTCAAGATTGTATGACTGGTAATCTATCATTATATAATAAAAGATATATGCAGTTTTGACATTTTTTATATACCTATATCACTAAATAACATTTACATAAATTTATTTTTTAATCACATCAAATATATTGCTTCTAATAATGCCAGCAAAATTTTTGAAATTAATGTCTACAGAACTTGTACTATGTGGAATCAGTTATTTTGAAATTAGCAGATATTGAATTAACATGAACAGCTAATTTCAAATGCATAAAATTTCCAGTAAAGAAACGTCTGTTTACCATTGCTACAAGCAATCGTAAAAAGGTCTGATGCCAAAGCCCGCTATTCTCAGGTCACGAAATCTTGTATTTCATCTAAAAAATAAAACTCCCGAGATTTCTTGTGAATCTTAAACAGTGTCTATAATAAGGCCAAATCTGTTATTCCACTTCTCTTGCATGATTCAGATTTTTTTACCTCACCTAAAGACAATGGTAAATTTTTTTTAAGAACTTTTCATCAATCACATCTCTTGATTTGACTAATCACATCTTACCTGATATAGCCAACAAACAAATTAATCAACTGGTTGACATTCATGTCACTCCAACCTTTGTATCTAAAGTGATTTCCTGTTTAGATATATCTCTAGCTTATGGACAACATACATGATATAGTTTGCAGAAGTGTTTTGCGAAGCTTTCATCTATAGGGGAGAAGGATACAGCTTTGAACGGGGGCAGCTTTGAATTAATGCATTTGTGAAGACTGCATGTATTTAAATTTGATATATAGAATTATTTTAACATGACAATACTTATCCTCATATCTGTCACTTGAATATGTTGCCATTTGATTAAAAGTGGACAAACTAGACGATATTTTTGTTTTTTAGTACAAATTTGAAACATTTGGATAGAAAGTTGTAAAAGTTTCTGACCACATTTTTAAAAAATGTTGAACTTTATGTTATTTATTATATAGATTATTTTATTCTCTATACAATGATTCAAAAAACTTCATTAAAAAAATATTTTGTTTTCAAAAATAGGCATTTACTCTCTAAGACGCCATTAGGGCAGTTTTGAAAAAAATAAACAGGACACCTTTGAATTATTGTAATTCATTCTTTTAACTTCCCGCACTTTATTGCTTCATTATTTACGGACTGAGTTTAGTTTATTTAATAATAAAAATGGTTCAAAATTATAAAAAAAATAGAGTGACTGAAGTCATAGAGGAAGATGTCAATAATGCTGTTCTCCAAGTTGCAAATGGATTAATGAAGCCAAACGAAGCAGCTAAAACCTATAATATAAAACGTAATACTTTACATTACAGAATAAAGAAGTATAAAAATTCATTATCCAATACCAAGTTAGGTTTGACAAGTAAATATACTGCCGCACAAGTATTTAATGATGATGAGGAAATGATGCTGAAAGACTATCTAATAAAAAGCTCTAAAATGAACTATGGGTTGACATATAAACAAGCACAGGAATTAGCATTTCATTGTGCAATGAAACTTTGCAAATGTCCAAGTAAATGGGTGGAAAATAAACAAGCTGGTATAGAGTGGTTGAAAGACTTCATGAAACGCCACCAAAAACTTTCACTTCGAAAACCTGAAAATACGAGTTTGTCTCGCTCAACAAGTTTTAATGAGCACAATGTAAATCAGTTTTTTGATAACTATGAAAAAGTATTAAAAAAACATCATTTCACTCCTGATAGAATTTATAATATCAATGAAACCAACATAATGACAGTAGTAGAAGCAAAGTGCTGAAGTGACTAATTGTCCTTTGACAGAAACATTCAGTAAAACTACTTCTGATAATTAGCATCAAATTCTAAATAAGCCTGAAGACATAGTTATGCAAAAGGAAGATATTAAAGTGGATTATAAGAATTATGAGCAAACAAGTATAAGTAATGCCTTACAATCACAGCACACAATAACACCTGAATCTGTAAGACCATATCCAAAAGCTCTACCTCATAAAAAAACTAATAAAGGCACAAAAAGTGGGAAATCTAAGATTCTTACTGACACACCAGAAAGAGAAGAAATAAAAAAATCTTATCTTTTAAGCAAGACAAAATTTCAAACCTCATTGGGAATTTTAAAACAAAAAACATCCAAAATTGGATCTAAATCCTCAAAAGCAAAGTTAAAACGAAAAATACTTTATTCTATGTTGAGTTATCGTAACTTAAAACTATTTTGATTTCTGAAAGTTCAAATTTTGTTGCTTGTAACAATGCTTTTAAATTTTAATGTTATATATATATATATATATATATATATATATATATATATATATATATATATATATATATATATATATATATATATATATATATATATATATATATATATATATATATATATATATATATATATATATATATATATATATATATATATATATATATATATATATATATATATATATATATATATATATATATACAGGCTTGGTCGGGAAGCGGGAGCGATCGCTCTCGATTGCTGACCACGTAAATAATATTTAGTTGCGAAAAGCTGGCCAGATTTTTTAGTCGCTTTGAGAACATTTTAAAAGCAAAAAAAAAAAAAGCGCCCAAGATTAATTGGACCGATGAGAGACAATTACAAAAAAAAAAAAATTAGATAAATAATAAATCTTTAAACGCGAAAAAACCTAAAGTTAAATAAATTACGTTTAAAACAAATATTTTCAAAATATCGCTCTTTTATAATTTTTTTTTTAATATAAAATTAAGCGATGTTTTTTATATAAAGTAACAACTTACGATTGTTTAAAGAGGAAACAAATATTCTTTATTTAACAAAGTTTGCAAGTTTTAGTTTAATTTTTTTATTTTATAAATAATAAAGTTAATTTTTTCAATACCTATTTTATGTTTCGCGTAGTTATACCTATTTTATGTTTCGCGTAGAAAAGTTTAACATATTTGAAGCATTTCTTCTTAGTAAGATAAACAAATGAAATAATTAAATCATTGAATTACTATAGAAATTAAATTAACATTATAGAAATCAACTTAAGGTTAAAAATACTTCATGACGAGAAAGCGAAATTGCTTTACAATATCGCTGGTGATGTTTAGTGAGTGGGCTTTTTAATTTTGATTAGTATTTAAAGCAGAAAAAAGTATAACGAGTTTTTAGAATGGCAACTTAAGCGAAAATAATTAGAGTTAGTATACCAATATCTAGTAACTTTTCTTTATATCTAATTATTTGCTATATATATTTGTGTTCTGTCGTGACCTCAGGCGCGGTGCTTGTTCATCTGCGAGTTACTTTGTACGCGTTGTAACTAGAAACTTCTTATATGTTTGTTACGTAATTAGTTTTATTAACTATAACGATTATAACTTCATTGAAAATGCAATTATTTTTGTAAGTCTTTGTTTGAATCGTAAAAATTGCTTTAAAAGATACATTACGATAAAAAACAGATAAACAAAATTAAATTTACATAAAGAATACATACTTTTTAAATAAAAAATAAGAATATAATAATAAAATCCATAATTTATAATAAGCTTTTAACATATTGACAATTTAATATATATTTAAAACTTTTATTTTTGTAAACAAATAATATATTTATTCTTAAAACAAGTTAAGCTGGAAATCTCAAAACGTAACAAATCGTTTCTAAAAACCTTTCAACAGATTACTCTTCTTAATTTCGCTAAGTCAGCGTATTTTTTGAACCAATAGAATTAGTTTCTTCGTTAATTTGGCGGGTTTTTAGTGTTCGCGAAAATTCTTTTTATTCTTTCGCACAAAAATGTTTTGAAACATTCAAGTTTATTATGTTTCCATGTATGTCCGTAAAACAAAAATTTTATTGTTTCGTACATAAACTTAAATGTTCTCAAAACGATTAAAAAACCTGGCCAGTTTTTCGCAACTAAATATAATTTCCGTGGTCAGTATTCGAGAGCGATCGCTCCCGCTTCCCGACCAAGCCTGTATATATATATATATATATATATATATATTCTTTATTACTTTGTTAATGTTTTTTCTTAACTTTAATGTTGATCTTAACTTTTACTTTTTTTTTTCAGTTTATATCTAAAATTTCTGATTTTGTTGCCTGTAAAGATTTTTTTTTTTAATATTTGATGTTGTTTATTAGGAATATTTGAGACTTTGTTTTAGATAGTTAGATCAGTGGATGCTGTAAAATTTTTACATAACTCTTTTCAATTGTTACTACAGGGTGGACACGATTCCTAATGAAACTTAAGTTCTCCTTATATTTGAAAGTTTCCTGAAAAAATATAACTTTTGCTTGACCAACTTTTTAGAGTTATTATAAGATTAGATAGTATAGAAAATATATTTGATTCTTGCTTTTTGAAACTTAAACTTAATGAAGTTTAATAATAAATTAATGCTCTTTTTAAAAACTAGTCACTAGTTTTTTCCTTTTGCCATAAAAAATTCAAATCTGCCCCATGCAAATTCAAAGCTGCCCCAGGTTAGAGCAGATTTAAACATTTTCGCGCACCTTGCTAGAACGAGAATACTGACTTAATTTTTAACTTACAATTTATACAAATTGTAAGTTAAAAAAAGCAATTTTTTTCCTTAATGATTAGTTTAACTGTTCAGAACAAAAAAAGTTGTTAAAATAGTTTTTTATTGGATTTATAATAAAAAGAGTAAAAAGTGTTCAAAGGTGCCCCCCTCTCCCTTACTTTTGAAAATATTTAACAAATGCTTATTAGAGTTTTGTTTAACGAAGTGGCATCTGTTACCCCTATTTTCAAAAACTTTTTCAAGAGCAATTTGACTTGTCTAACTTGTCCCATTAGTTTTCTTATTACTATAAGATTTTTAGCCTTTAGTTAATCAATTATTAATCTCTCATCTTAAACCTAATTTAAGGTGAGAGATGATTTAGGATTAAGATGATTTAACTTTTCCTTTCTGATCATCAATATGGATTTTGATCTTTTTGTTTTACTGCTGATTTGTTAAAGGTATAACCGATAGATTTCATTGTGCATTAGACAAATGTGAGGAAGTTAAGGCTATTGTTTTTAACATTTCTAAATCCTTTGATAAAGTTTGACATGCTGAACTTCTCTATAAACTTTTTTCTTATGGTGTATCAGGTAAGATTATTAAATCTTTCATAATTAATCATAGTAACCATTCCATTGCAAAATAGTGGTTGCTTACAGCCTTGTTGGAAGTGAAGAAGTTTTAAAAAAAATCAGACATATTTGCCTCACTTATCAAATTTATCATAAACTTAATTTAGCAAATGCTTTGCTTTACTACAGTCATTTTCTTCATCCTAGTCAGAAATAGCTACTTGTAATTCATTTGCTTTTTCTGATTGAGCTTGTTGGAGTTGGTTTTAAAAATATAATAATTTTATTAGACTTAGCGCCATTACATGAACTCTCCATTGTTAGTTAAAGATAGACCTAATGCTAATTTGGGTATATTTTTGATTTTTTAAACTTGAAAAGTTAATTATGAAAAAGCAATGAAAATGATAAAACTCTGAAAGAATAAAAAAGAAGTTACAATAAAGATGAAAACAAATCAGCAAAATAAATCAAAGGTATCAATACATTATTCAAATGTATACATATTTTTTTGGACTACGAACATAAAATAAATTAGTAACCAATCAAATATTTAATTATGAAATTAAACTTCATGTGTATTAAGATTTACCAATTATTTATTTTCATTTTTTGTTACTAATAATTTAGATTATCTTAGTGGATGGAGTTCATGGAGTGATTGCTCAAATGCTTCCAACCGAACAAGAAATCGTACATGTGTTGATGAATATTTTGGAAAAAATTGCACGGGGTCTGTAGCTGAACAAACACAATCATGTCCAGGTTAACAAATTTAAAATAGCATTATGTCAGATTAAATTCACTGTTGCATATTGTGTAAAATTGGAATAAAAAGAAATAAAAAAATATTTTCAAAATATACTTTTTTAATAAATTAAAATATATCATCACTAAATAGCAATATATTTCTTTGCAATATCTAAACAAATATCTTTGATCAAAGATAAGCTTTGTGTTAATGTGCTGTTTTTATATTTTCAAGGCAGAAGCATACATTATGCATTTTAATTAAATGAAATTTTCATTTAATTAAAATGTTATAGAGTTTGTTCAGCATTAAGATTTTATAGAGTGTTTCAGTTGCTTTACTTGCAATATATATTCATGAAAGATTATAAAGGACTATAAAGTATAATATATAGTATAATACATAATTCTTTTATTTTATATTTATATATATATATATATAACATATATATATATATATATATATATATATATATATATATATATATATATATATATATATATATATATATATATATATATATATATATATATATATATATATATATATATATATATATATATATATATATATATATATATATATATATATATATATATATATATATATATATATATATATATATATATATATATATATATATATATATATACAGTGTCAAAAAATTATCCGACCAAACATTTTTTTAAATATTTTTCCTAATAATTTCAACTTTTTTGGTAAACTCAAGAATAATAAAAATAAAATAAAAATAAAATAAAAGAACTTGTTTTTAAATAGATTTTATTTATTTTAGTGTAAAATATGAACCACAAGGTTTTCGCTCTTAAAATAAAGGAACTTAGGTCTTTTTTCTATTGTCAAAAAATATTCGACTAAACATATTTTTTGTTCCATAATAAATTATTAAATAACAAAACAATTATTTTAATACTTTGTAGGGCATCCCTTTGCTTGGATTACAGGTTTTAGACGTCTAGGCATTGATTCGACTAAAGATTTTGTTTCTTCTAGTTGAATCTTTTCCCAGGCTTCTTTAGTTGCCACTTTGAGGTTATCTTTTTTGGAAAATAACCGATCTTCAATTTTTCTGTCTAAAACTTCCCACAAAGGTTCAATGGGATTAAGGTCCGCTGATTGCGCGGGTCATTCCAAGACCTCAACATTATTTTTAGCAAACCACTCCTTGGTTTCAGTGGCTCTATAGTTAGAATTGTTATCTTGCTGAAATGTAAAATCAGATCCTATCCAAAGTTTTTGAGCATATGACTTCAAATTTTGCTTTAAAATGTTTCTTTATTGCACCTAATCCATTATAGTATCAATAAGTTAAAGTTTCCCGACACCCTTCTAAGCCATTGAACCCCATACCATCACGTTACCGTCACCGCACTTGACAGTTCCTCTCACGCAGCTTAATTTGTAGGCTTCTTTGGCTTTTCTCCAAATTTTTTGGGCTCCATCAGATGACTTTAAGTTGATTCGTTGCTCCACAAGATCTTTTTCTAGAAACTTAATGGCATGTTTTTGAACTTCTTAGCAAACTCCAATCTTCTTTTCATGTGTTTCTTACTCAAATATGGTTTATTATGCAAAAGTTGTCCTTGAAATCCTTGGTCTCGGATACAATTTCTAATTGTCTGATGGGATAATTTGATTTCATATTTCTCTTCGGCTTGCTCAGCAAGTTTTTGAACAGGAACGAAGCGATTTTTCTTGACTTGTATAATTAAGTTTCTATCATAACTCTTAGAAGTCTTTTTTGCGACCCTGTCCTTCTTTTTTGGCTGTTGTTCTGATCAAATTATACTTCTTCATTATGTCAGATACTGTATTATGAGGAATTTCAGTCTCTTGCTGCATCTGACAATAGGTTTTACCCTGATTGACTAGATTGACAGCTAAATTTCTCTGAGAAACAGTCGATGACATTTACCTACTACCATTTTACTTCAAAAAACATGAAACCTTTTTTTTATATAAAACTTTTTTTTTACTACAAAAAAATAGTTTTTTGTTATGCAGTTTTATTATTTCTATAAAAATTTGCATAAATATTTCAAAAAATTTCAAACTTACCTATGCAGTAATGGTGTAGTGGTAGAGCGCTCGCTTCATAAACAAGTGGTTCCGAGTTCGATCCCCACCACGTCCCTAATAGAACCGCGCTCAACTCGTTTCTCCACGCAGCGGCCTTGTTCGTCAGGGTTCGTGTTTCGGAGTTATAGAGTTGAGAGAGGGTTATAGCCACAAAATAAGTAGCCTCCTCATCTGTAGTGGCCATCTCGGCCTTGTGGAGGTGAATAACAAAAAAAAAAAAATATCGTTTGGTCTGATAATTTTTTTACAAGCCTATTCAATACTAAGTTTCTTTTAGGAAAAATAATAAACCAACTGAATCATGAATCAAAAAAATGAACGCTAAATAACATACTATTCCCAATAGAATAAAAATGGCAGACTAAGTGAGTATCACTATTCATTAATTTTAGTATAATTTAGAGCGTAAACATTTTTTTGTTGCCAAAAACTTGTTTGGTCAGATAATTTTTTGAGACACTGTATGTATATATATATATACTTTATATATATATATATATTATATATATATATATATATATATATATATATATATATATATATATATATATATATATATATATATATATATATATATATATATATATATATATATATATATATATATATATATATATATATATATATATATATATATATATATATATATATATATATATATATATATACATATATATATATATATATATATATATATATATATATATATATATATATATATATATATATATATATATATATATATATATATATATATATATATATATATATAAAAACCTCCAAAATTTAGTGTTTTTAATTGAAGTTTTTAATTTATGAATTTGCTTACTTTTTTGAATCTTGAAAACTTTCAACTTTAATAAAAACAATAAAATCTGCAAACTTGTATATACAGAGGCAATCACACACATTTAGCAGCAAGCAAATATGAAAAGCTCTGCTGATGAAACAATTTAGACATGTTAATACTGAAAACAATTCAAAATTTATGATTTTTATCAGTAATGTATATGTTAATGTATAATGTTCAGTAATGTAATGGGACGCATGCTTAAACATCATAATAACATTTAAAGTTATTAGTCATATAAGCAGAGACAAGATTTGCTACTTCAAAACTTAAAAGAAAAGTAAAAGTTTGGTTAAGGTTTTTAAAAAGGTGTTTGTTTCAGGAAATGTTTTTTAGAATTTGAAGTAAAAATTTTCAGCATTACCATCAATTGAATTAGTTACATTTTTATTTTAAAGACTAAGCTGGAATGACTTCTTAAAATATTTATACTTGATTTTAAATTTTTAAATTCAAGTTATAGCAGGGTACCATTTATCTGTTGCAAAAACTTATCTGTAATCTGAACTAAATAATTTTGAAACCTAATAAGATGAAGAATAACCTTTGTTTTCTTTTATTCTTTACTAAATTGTTTATCAGTAATCTTGTCATTGTGTTTGGTGTTGAGGTGACTAGTCACCTTGTAATATACATAGTTTTTCGCAAAATAAACAGGAATATATACTTTCTTCACGTTGGTTTGGATAAAATAAATTAGGTAACCTAATATTTTAACTAAAATTGAGGTCTGTTTCCAATAAATTAAAACTTGATAGCTGCTAACACAGCAAGTTAACAAAAATTGATATAGTAAAATAATATTATTTACTATATTAGTTATAATGTAATTGATATAGTAAAATAATATTATTTTACTATATCAAACTATATAAACAATATGTTTGTGAAAGAGTTTATTATATACTATAACATAAACGTGTACTAAAGTTTCCATCTAATGTGTGTTACTAAAAAAGTTGTTCATTTTTTCATATTTTTATATTTATTCATATTTAAGTTGTTCTTATTCAATTATTCCAAATATTATATATTAGATAAAGTTATATTTTTATGTTAATGCTTATTAAAATACAAATAATATTGTTCAAGGTTGATTTACCTATCGGTAATAGAGAATTCAGTAGGTTCAAGATGTCTAAAATATTTTTAAATCATATTAATATGTTTGTTTGACCTTTAAAACATGTTTATCATCCTCTAGGATTTAAAATAAAAAGAAAGTCTTTTTAAGTCTGTACTCTTTTCAAGAGAACACTTTCTTTCTATTTTCAAGAGAACACTTTCTTTCTATTTTCAAGAGAACACTTTCTTTCTATTTTCAAGAGAACACTTTCTTTCTATTTTCAAGAGAACACTTTCTTTCTATTTCAAATTTTCATGACTCACTGAAAAGATTTTTGTACTCTAAACCATTCCATACAAATTTAGTATGGAATGGTTTAGAGTACAAAAATAATGTATTTATTGTTTACATTTAATCCATAAAAGGTTGCTTGTGCAACCTTCTATGAACTAAATAAAAAATACTGTCACAAATACCAAAGCTCGAATTAAAATTTTTAAATTTGTGAATAAAGATATCTAGAAATATTTCTGGTTATAAACTGTAAAAATGTTATAATAAAAGGTCAATTTGTTGTACACAGTGGACCAGAGAGACCGCCAGGTTTTATGTCGTGTCAATTAAACGAAACTTTTTTTATTTATTAGTATTTATTTTATAATAATAGAAAAAGTTGTTTTTAAAATCTAAACCAAGTGCTAAGGGTCCCAAATGGGGCAAAAGGGAAGATTGAGGGGCCCCAAACCCATTTAAGATTTTTTTTTAATTTTAATTATTTTTTCTCTCACTGAATTAATTTTAGAAGTTTAGATTTGTAAAATTATTTAAAATTTATTATCTTTCATTAGTCAGGTACAGTGCCCCTAGAATCTAGTAAAAAAATATAAAATTCTTATTTATTTATTTATTTATCAATCTTTATTTTTTAATTTAAATGAATTGAATAAAATTTAAAACAATAAAATGACTAATATTTACAAATACTACTGACATATGGAACATAAAGCACCTAAACATTACTAACTCTTCTTCCGTTAAAATCAATAACAGAAGAGAGGAGTCTTTCACCATATTCTTTGTTTGCAACTTGTCGTTTGAACCTGTTCCACGTTGGTTTGAATTTTGAGTGAACTGATTCTCCACATTGTTCAGCAAACTTAGACAAACCACATTTGTGATGTTCAACAAAAGGTTGCACATGACACAAAAGTATATGTACTTTTTAACTAATTGAAAGTTTTTTTCCGAGAATATCTGCAATTTCTTGAGCAGATAAAAAGGAGTTCTTAAATTTTAGAATGGCTTGCTGATACCCAAGCTCAAGTGTTCTACCAAAGCAAGAGTATTTAACAATCTTTAAGTCTTTTAAACATTGAACAATTGGCAGAAGATCAGGATATTCATACAAAACAACTCTTTCCAACTCATCAACACACTTTAGTATCTGGTTTGAATTTTTCCCATCCCAACCTTGATATCCTCTTTGTAGAACACCACTATTTTTCAAAAAAATATCAAAACCTGGCCAAAGATCCAATAATAAACACCCCAGTGTTGTTACTATTCCTATCAGGATATGTAATTTAGGGGAAGGTACTAAATGTTGGATTAGTGTATCTGGATCTTTATCGAGGTAGAGAATTCTTGGATATATTACATTCATAAAATGTTTCATATTAGACTTCTTTGAACTATTTTCTACAGTGTATCTTTAATACCAATAGTCAAGGCTTCTAATTGTTCGCAGTTTACCACAAACTTCACTCCAAAGACAAGCTCCTTCACGTCTCCTTCACACCAAAGACAAGCTTTTTTACCTGCATGGCTTGATATTCCAAAAACTGCATTAGCACATTTCAAATCAAAAGCTGCTGAAAACTTAACATCTTGTAAGTTGAGTTTCTCTAAAATTATTCTTAAATTGAAGTTAGATTCTTGCACATCTTCAACTATAGAGAGGATTTGGCATTGTTGAACACCACTATTTAAGTATAAATTGGTGAAAAAAACAAGGTCTTTTATAGAAGTGCCATCGGTACTATCAAAGAAGTTGACCTGAAAAATAACAATAAATTTTTGAAAAACTTTTAATGCTATAATCAATTTTCAATACTAAAAGATATAATTGCCACCTTTTCTACTTGATAAAAATACGATAAAGACTCTTCTAAGTCACTCATTTTTCCAAAAATGTTGTTTTCTACAGCCAACTTACTTCCCATTCCTTTTCGAAGAGTAGATATCAATAGCCCCATTTTATTAAGGGAAAGTTCTAAAACTATTTGAAGTTCCTTAATCATCTGAAGAGATACTTGTTTAACTGATCTAGGTATAAATGAACAAAATATTAATATCTTATCATTTGATAAATATGTACTCAACAGTATATATGTACCTTCTATTTGCTTCGTTATCAGGACATCCAACTGTAATCATCAATG